TGTAGCCTGTAGAGTCAACTAGCTGACTCTACGGTGGATCTGTAGCCTGTAGAGTTAACTAGCTGACTCTATGGTGGATCTGTAGCCTGTAGAGTCAACTAGCTGACTCTACGGTGGGTCTGTAGCCTGTAGAGTTAACTAACTGACTCTGTGGTGGATCTGTAGCCTGTAGAGTTAACTAGCTGACTCTATGGTGGATCTGTAGCCTGTAGAGTTAACTAGCTGACTCTATGGTGGATCTGTAGCCTGTAGAGTTAACTAGCTGACTCTATGGTGGATCTGTAGCCTGTAGAGTTAATCCGTTCTGTGTTTTACTTTATTATTGTTTGTAATGCTTCAATGTCAACATAATGCTCAAAATTTTATTTTCAGTATTATATCTTCTCTTTAAATATTCCTCCGAATTACTAGTTAATATTACACACATATTTGAACTTGTGTTTTATGTTCAGTCCTTTATTTTGAATCTAATTTGTAATGCCTTTCTTTTACGTTTTACATTCCATTGTTGGCTTTTTTTCACGTTTTACATTCCACTGTTGGCTTTCCCTTCTGTTTTACACCCCCATAGTTGGTTTTCTTTCACGTTTTACACCCCCATAGTTGGCTTGCTTTCACGTTTTACACTCCATTGCTAGCTTTGTCTTATATTGTACACTAATTATTGGCTTTTTCTTATGTTTAACGCTAATTATTGGCTTTCTCTGAAAATAAGAAGTTAGCTCACAGGATCACATACAAAATTTGTAATGGTTTTCAAACGAGACCCAAACTGCTTTCGAAGAAAAATAGTGAACTATTCGAAAACGCTCGTGTTTTGGGTCTCGTTTGAAAACCATTATTAGCTTTCTCTTATGTTTATTAACACTGCATTGTTTTCTTTTATATCTATAACCGCTTAGTTCTATAAAAAAAATCTTTATTTTTTAGTTCTAAACTTCTAAATTTTGACTTGCAAAACAGCCTTAAAAAACTATCTTAAAATTACTGCAATATCTACCGCAAAACACAAGAAAAGATGTTGCTCATCGCCATCTACTGTCGTTGACTGCTAAACGTTTGAGTATATGCATACATGGCGGTAAAATAATTTTATTTTTTGTGTCGGGAGTTGAAATAAGTATAAATTTCATCGTACCCTAATTAGTTTAGAACACATGTTTAATCAGATATCTTCTGAAATTGTTTTTCATGCAGCTCTGCATATAGGCTTAACGTAAAAGTGAGATATTCTCACAGTTCCGGGTCTTCGTCTTTATTTCCTTCTGTCTTTGTTCTGTGAAAATATTTGGAAAAACCTCTCCAGCCAAAAAAACACCAGTTTGAGGACAAGGCAAGGTTTTTTTATGTAGTAAAACTACATAATTGCCTATCTGTACTCGGCCCACCATGAGTATCTAAACCCCGTTTTTAGCGTTATAAGCCAACAAACTTACAACTATGCTATTTGGAGGATGGGGAGGCGGCAACAAGTAAGAAGTCAACAAATTGTTGAATTGGGTTTTTCAGTTTTTCTTTGCTGTCCGTGTTTGATTTTTCTTTGCGAATACGTAAAACTTATCTG